GTGCAAGCGGTGCATACGGTGCAAGCGGTGCATACGGTGCAAGCGGTGCATACGGTGCAAGCGGTGCACGCGGTGCAAAGAAGTCAGTACCATAGCTCACTGCCTATTCCTTTACTTAGTGCCGGGCTCAGTACTATACTGATAAGTTATCAGTGATAAAACCGGTATTCAAATAATTTATTATACAGATAAATTCTTGTACAAAATATTGTGTTTGTGACTATTATATAGATTATAAATAAGTATGAATTTTCCAATATATTTGTAACATTAAAATACAGTCACAATTATTAGCAACTCATGTCAAGAATATTTGTTAAACATTAGTAGCATTTTAAAATCATTTTTATAATGCTAAATAACAAAACATTTTTAGCTTTCAATTTATAATAATATTACAAATTAATGATTTATTGTTTATAAAAATAAGACTAAATAATAATATATTAATAAAAATTGCTTTAAAAGTAGTTGACATCTAAAACATCATTTGGGGGTTTGCCATAAAGAGCCGGGTAAAAATAAAAGTCCCTGGCCACCATGAACTGACTTATTTGAGGCCACTGAAATATTAGCTCCACCATACGGTCAATAATCAATTAATACGTTTATTTGTGTTTATAAAGACCGGGATTAAAATACAACGCCCTGTCAACACATTTCAAAATAAACTCCGGGCGATGTTTAACATCATCATCGTACAGTCTCATTTCATCGCAAGTCTAAACAATAAAATACACAATTATTGTCTTTAAAGCTGATTAAAAATGATAATTTAAAAGTTAACAGTTAACCTTGTTTAATATTTCTGTCAAGCTTAAGCTGCATGCGTATTCGGCGATACAGTGGCTGAACGCCCTTCCATATATGGTGTACCCATTGTCGGTGTAAAATGTTGAATCCCCTTCAAAATATAAAAAATTAATATTTATCAAATGAAAATAATTTTAAAATAATTTAATTAGACTACCCTTGGCACAGGCATAGCATATGAAGGTGCGAGTGGTGCCGTCCACCCAATTATTATCCATATGAGGACTCGTTTCTGAATGATCGGTGTCTAAACAAAGGGTATTTATTAATTAATAAATTAATTATCTAAATAGCTGTGTTTGGTACTTGCTAGAAAAGTGCATAAATCTAATGAATTTGCTTATAAAGGTTTCGGACGATAAGTTTTAAATTGTGTTTTACAAAATTTTTTAAAGTTAATTTGTGGTACTCATGTAAATTATCTAAATTTTTTAATGTTACATATTATGGGAAAGTACTAGTTGTAGTAAAAATTATTCATTTAGAA